ATCAAGTAAAAAAAGAAAGCAAATGACATAATCCGCAAGTTTCAAGGAATTAAAACAGCAGGAATGAATCACTTATTTCGAAGGAAAACCATCAAAAAGAATGCTACAAATCAGATCAAGATGAAAAAGTAAATAGTAAAATTAGTAAGCATGTCATGAAACCACAAAACAACCTAGCAATCAATCAATGTTATGGATGAAAAAATCAAGCAAAAACATCAGTCGAAAATATTTGCCTGTTAACCATTCGTTTATTAGAGAATCACAAATAGAGAAACTTACAAAAGACAAAGGGGTCAAAATCATTCAAAATTCGATTTTGATACGATCGACGTTTGTTCAGATATCATCAAATTGGGGAGAACTTCATCACCTAAAAACTCAAAAAATAAAAAAATTGTCAACGAACAATGAGGCATAGAAATCATTTGAGCTATATTGAAATTTTTTAAAAGAGAGAAAATTTTCAGTTTTTTCAAAAGAAAACCTTCAAAAAAACATGCTGAAAATCAAATCATATTGAAAAAGTAAATCATAAAGTCTGTACGCAAGCCATCAAACTTAAAAACAACCTGGCAATCATTCATTGTTAAGGATTAAAATTAAGCAAAAACGCATCAATCAAAAGTATTTGCCTGTAAACCATTTGATTGTCAAATATTCGTAAATAGAGATATATACAGAAATGAGGGAATCGAATCCATCTAGTAAACTCAATTCTGATGAGATCGAAGTTCAATCAGACACCCTCAAACCGGTGAGAACTTCATGCAAAAACTAACGTAAATGTCCATACGAAAATGTCAACTAACAAATTTATATGCAAAAGTTATTCTAGCTATATTGAACTGTTTATGAAGAGAAAAAACAATCCCTGAGATTCAATGAACTAAGACAGCAGAAACGAACCAGTTATCTAAAAGGAAAACCTTCAAAAAAGCTGCTGGAAATCAGATCAAGATGAAATCAAAGATCAAAAAATCGGTAAGCAAGTCATCAAATTTTTAAAGTATCTACCAATCAACCAATTTGAAAATGAAATGAATATAAATTCAAGCAAAAATGCATCAAGAAAAAATCTGCTTGAAATCATTTTTTATGAGACAATCTTAAAATTAAAGATGAAAAACAAGGTAGGAATAAAATCCATTAAAATCTAATCAGAAAAAAAATCAGGGAGAGCTCATCAGTCAAAAATTCAACACGGAAAAAAGTCTACGAACAGCTTTACAAAGAAAAATTTAACGAACTATCTTGTACCGTTTATCAAGCGAAAAAAGACATATTCCTCGAGGTTCATTTAACTTAAAGAGGATTGATTCATCTACTTAAAAAGAAAAACCATCAAAAACACATGCTGAAAAGCAGATCAAGATGAAATCATTCACAAAAAAATCGTGGAGGAAGTAATCAAATTACAAAAACAACTATCAATCAATTAGAATCATTATCAGATGGATATAAATCAATTTAAAAAGCATGATGGCGAAAATTTTACTTGTGAACCAATGTTTTGTTATCTGCTCACAAAACTAGCGATATGCATAAAAATAAAGCAATCAAACCCATCAAAAAAGTCCCTGTCTAATCAGATCGCATTTCAATCTCAGATCATAAATTCGGTGAGAAGCTTATCCTGTAAAAAACCATCAAGGAATTAATTCTCAAGTAGCAATTTTTCAAAGAAAATTTATTCAAGCTAATTTGAACTCCTGATCAAGTTTTAAAAATAAAACAAATGACATTATCCGCGAGTTTCGAAGAACTAAATCAGCAAAAATGAATCAGTTATTTCGAAGGAAAACCATCAAAAAGACATGCTGAAAATCAGATCAAGTTGAAGAAGAAAATCATGAAATCGGTAAGCAAGTCATCAAACTACAAAACGATATAGCAATCAATCCGTGTCATGGATAAAAAAAAATCCAGCAAAAACACATCAGTCGAAAATATTTGCCTGTAAAGTTGAATGGATTTGCGAAATCATTTTAGAGGACATATTTGCAACGCCAAAGAGAACCCTGACAGTACCAAAACATAGATTAGAATTTTAATTTCTAACGGTTGTTTTTGAATGTGAGTTTTGATTACAGATTTAAAAAATGAAAACACCATCAAACTGCCATATCGTTGAAAGCAAAAAAAAATTGAGCAACCAATTTAAGGGGGGTAGGTTTGCAAGGCCGAAGTATCCCCTGACAGCAACCCACCAAAGGGCCGTGAGTTTCAAGTTCTGTTACTTTGTTTTATTCAAATATAACTAAGAATTGAAAACTCATAAAATCTCGAAAACCAAAATGATTTGCGCAGTTATACTTTGAGGACAATTTTGCAGTTCTTAGTATGCCCTGACAATATCCTACCATATGTTTGAGAAATTATTTTTATAGTTCAGTTTAAAACAAAACATAGTTTATCGCGAAAGTGTTAACATCGATCTTTGCATCTGGGTTTAATTCATTTCTCGAAATTCTGCTTTTTTGAGAACGCATTCATTTTGTATTAGCTTTTAGAAGCGTTTGATAACATAATTGGTTTCGCTAATAAATTGAGGAAATCACTTAAGATTTTTTCAAAACAATTAAAATAAAATAATCTTATAAACCAATCCTTATGGATTGTCTTTCTATTTTCTTATCAACTGGGTTTTTCCATCTTATTTTTCATCTTATTTTTATGTTGCTCAGCGTTATTGTAAACGCCTAGTGTCGTGTCTACGTCAAAAATTCAATTTCTATATTAAACTTGTCTTGCTCGAAAAACAGAAGGGTATTTTAATGCGCATTCATCAAACTATGTTTTATAAAATTTCGTTTGTTTATTTTAATACAGGGGGGTCAATATTAATTTACGCAAATCAATTTTGGTTCAAAACCATATGCATTCATGAAATTTGCTTCTAATGTTTCTCTTACTTTGGATTTATTGGCTGAAAACTCGGCACTGAAACCCTGCTAGTAACATCGAAAAGACGTCCAATAATATATTACGAAATTGATGAAAGTTATTGATTTAAAGCTGGAAAAAATTACCAAGAGACTGGGCTTTGCAAACACTCGTACACACAAAAAACAACAGCTTCAGAAAGTGAAAGGAAAACAGGAATTATCCTCTAATTAGTCAAACTTGCTATGTACCGGATTCTAAAGTGCAACCTGAAGATTTGAAACTTCACACCCTGCCCTCTCGGCTAAGAATACTTAGCAATCGTCAGAAATGAAGCAGCAAAACTAGTCAGAAATGAAGCAGCAAAACATGCTAGTAAATTACCAATGAGATGCCGCGAAAAGCGAATACGAAAAAAAAACAATTTTGCAAGTAATAATCTGGAATAATAGACAATGAAGGCATCCACACTATCTTTCATAAAAAAAATTGCAAAGCAACAAGCAACATCATGCATTACATGCATTTCAAAACACTGCGAGATATATTGTTTCAAATTTTCAGAAATCGAGTTTTTATCATTATGTTATTGGAACTTAACCGCTTTTTTCGACCATTTGATAGTTAGTTAGTTTAAAAGGCAACTACTATGTTAACTTATTATGACGAAGTACATGTTTTCAAAAACCAAAATGGTACCACCAAAATTGGCACCAATTTTTGCAACTTCGTGAGCATAGTGTAATAGTACGACTACTCTATTTTTTCTAACCTAACGTGCTCAAGTGTAATGAAATGAAAAAAAAGCTAATTTTACAGCATTGACGAACATAATCGATGAAAAGAGAACACAACTAACACATCAAACTTAAATTCAACGCTACGAAAACTGCGAAATTCATTTAAGTTAAATCAAAAAAATTTCATAATACCTCCACGTAAAAAGGAACCAATTTTCGAACTTCATCGAAATGACCACATAAAAAGGACAACCTCGCAAAATCAAACCATTTTCAAGAAAAAATTTTGCTATGGACTTTTTAGTGTACAGAACTCCTGTTCAACATGGCGAATTGGAGTATCTCTCCAAAACCTTTCTGCGAAAGCTTTTTTTTCCGCTTGAGATGGCAAAATGAGTCAAAATGTCACTATTGAGCACAAAGTTACGTTTATAATCATACTAAAAAATATTAAGTAATTACGTTACAATTTAGTATGATTATACCGTAATTTAGTGCTCAATAGTGCAATTACGAAGTGCTCAATTACAAAAAATAATACATCTGAAAATTTTTTGCTGCTCAATTACGACTTAAATAATATATCTGAAAATTTTATGGTTTGAAAAATTTATCCCATTTAGAGAACTAAATCCAAGGTTTGAATTCTTTAATCCGCAGAGAATTCTGAAAACTAACTTTCGAAACCAGACCTTATCCACGAATCTACTTGCTGCGCGCAAGCGCAATAAAGAAAAAAAACGCTTATTTTACAACATTGACGAAAATAAAACAATCGAAAACGAAAACACAAAACTTAGATTCGACCATACCGAGCGGTTACAAAGCCGAAAAACCTTAGAAGAAACCTTTTAAGCTGAGAAAAATTCAAGACTTAAGACGTATAAAAATTATCAATTCACCCGCACACTTAACTTTGAGGCCACTGAGCCGATATAAAATAGGTCGAAACCTATTGAGCCAAAAAGGAAACTAAAACAATACAGACCCCCTCGCCCTCAAAACACTCAACGCAATATGATGCCACTTAGCCGAGATAATTTAGGCAGAATCTAATCAAACCTAAAAAATTGAACCGCAAAAAAAGTCGTAAGACTACTTTGAAGTTACTAAGTCCCCCTCACCCTTAAAAGACACGAAAAAAAATCTTTTTCAACGAAATTAACGAAATCGAACAAAAATTATGTATTTGTTACAATGATATAATTCTGAAATACGTTATTTAACCATCCACAAACCATCTATCGTCTTCCGAACCAATATATTGATACCTCTAAAACTACCGCCTTGTTTTTCTTCACCTTCATTTGAACTTGACCTTTACTAACTGTACTTAACTCTCAATGCCCTCAAGTAGCTTTTTCAAAAGATTGCTGTTATCTACACTAAATCAATTCGGCATTTGTATTGGTTTCAACAGTTCATCTGCAAAACTTCAATGATTCAATATGTCCCCCGTCTCCTTCCATAGGGTGGAAATATGTTACCAGGTACAATATTCGCTCTCTGACTATCACTCTAGTGCACAACTGTTGAATTAATCCTTTTCTGGTGTTAATGCTTCTGGTGATGAATAAGCATAGATTCATACGTATCAACCATATTCACCAAATTTAGCACATACGTATCAAACGTATTCACCCAAATTAGCACACAGATTCAACAGAGTTGAACGCATTCACTCAAATTAGCAGCAAAAAAAATCTGCTCATGTTCAACAATTTGCATCAGATCAACGAAACTTACAATCAGTTTAATACAGAAATAAAATACAAGGCTAAACAAAATTGAAAAAATCAATAATTTGGGATGCGCCTCTGATGGGTTTCCTGCTCCAACTTCTCATTCGTCTCCTCAATTATTCGTCCCATTTCCTGCTGCAAAACCTGACTTTGCTGAAACGCATTGCAGGACAGTTGATGCAGTTTAAAATGACCTAAGAAGCCTTGTGCTAATCTGTGATAATGGTGCGGCATTTGTGCAAATTTCTTCTCTGCTGCTTCAAAACCCAGTCCACTTTGCTGCGAATGAATTATTTCCGCATGCGTCCACATCAGGAAGCTCTTCAACTGATCACGAGTCGACAATTGAGTTGATTCCTCCATTTCGACTCGGAAAGTGACTCTGTCCACGCCTCGGAACATACAGCGCAAGTACTCGCTACTACCAAAATTTCTTATGAGCAGCGGATCATCTCTGTCATAGAAATCATTTCGTCCATTCAAATAGTAGGGCTTCGTACTTTTACACACGAATTCGTCTTTGTTGTCAGCCTCTACTCTCGGGCCATCTTCTCTCAAAATTTCCTCCACTACATCGTAGTGTTCCATTTGGCCACTTAGGAGAGATACTCTGAATATGACACTGCGGTTATCATCTTTAATGTAGGTTTTGAGCTGAACTTTGACCTAAACAAAATTATCAGCATCTAGATCGATTTCCTCTATGAAAAAAGTGTTGTGAATTTCTACCTTTGGTTCGTATTTAACAATAGATTGTCTATAGCCCACTTACGTCCATGTAAGACGAATCCTCTAGAACCCCCTTCGGGTAAATCACACAAGACCACACTATTCCACTCCTTTTGAACTCAGGGCTGACAATGTACCCCAAGGCACGATCTCCAGTCAGATCCCGTTTGCGCATAGCATAAACAACAAAAGAACTTTTCCTGTCGTAATTCGAAACAGCACACCTATCTTGATACATCTTAAGCGGGGGTTTCAACTTCCCCGGCTGCGATTGGTCGCAAAAGGAGTTTGGATCTATATTCTGAGATTGCATTGATTCAACCTCTTGCACTGTAGGCATATGCTGGTTATGGCCATTCATCACTTGGCAGGCGAGCACTTGATTATTAAACGGTATACGATGTTGCCAATATTGAGTACTTGCATCATACCACTCCGGAATAATCTGATTCATATGGCTGTAAACAATAGAACCGACCGAACAGCCAGGAATGTAATGTCTTATGTCCATACTCTGAACACTAAATGTGGAATGGTTTTTCGCGTCTGGAAAATTGCTTATGGGTGTAGAGCATTTAGGAGGCCTTTCATTCGAAGCACAGTCAGTATTTTCGCTCGAAATGGCAGGTGATTGATTGTGTTCTTGCGAAGCTTCAGTGCTCTGAACATAATTACTGCTGGCTTCACTGCGCGCACTCAGTATTCCATTTTGCCTTATCTGTGGATCACTATCATCCGCAGAACACTCGGAGTAGCTGCTATTTCCAGAATGTTGAACGAAGCTCGAGTCCGATCCATAATCGGAGGAAAGACACTTGTTTTGCTTTACAGTTTGAAGGCGTGATTTCTCGTCCCTCTCGTCAAGGCGTGAGTTCTCGTTACTCTCGCCATTCTCATCATTCATTTCGCAATACTCAAGCACAATACACAATCTGTAATTTATATAATAATAATAACCAAATAGATTTTGTAGTTTCAATCCGCATTTGAGTTGGAATCTCACTAGAACAATTCTGGTCTCAGTGAATCGAACATGGAAAGAATTGCAAACAATGCGTCCACGTGAACGTTAACCGATTAATAAGAAAACTCATTAACTATTTTAGGGGTCATCAGACTAACCGGTAAAGAAAATAATTTTAAAGCTTAGATGCTAAAACAAATAACCTTGAAAAACTTTTATTTTATCAACTTTTTCAGACAAAGTTCAATGTCACGAGAGATCAGACACAAAAAACGAACAATATATGAACTTATTTAAATATTCTTGATATGTTTGTTTTTCAACGATTTGACCGCAAGTATAGAGAGTTGCAAAAAAATCGGACAGACAGTCTTAATTAAAAAGAGCAACTGTCTAGACATCAGCTGAAATAAAAACTGAAATAAACATAACGTCGAAAGTTCATAAAGCAGAGTTTAGCTCGAAAATTATAACCACGGCGGGCAATTGCATAACAGGAAAATTACTACTCAGGGTGGCTATTGTTTTTCTGCGATTAGTTTCCAAATTTTAAATGATTTGATCATCTTCAGTGCCGTTTGGTTTTTTTTTTGGTGCGGCCTTATCTGTTTTTTCTTCTGTGTCTCGTTTTTAAACTAACTTTGCTAAATGTTTTATAGTAAAATCTGGATGTTCATTGCAGTATTTAAAAATTAGGCTAGCATAATCTTCGGATATCCGACGATCTCGCATTTTGAGTTTGGCCTGACAAAAAGTTCAAGGATCGTTCGGCTTTAGATTTTGCATGCAAAAAATGTCAAAAAACACTGATTGCTCATTTTAAATATTTTTGTCTGTCCGAACTTTTTGCTACTAATTATAGCAGTTTAGAAAACTTGAAAGTACATAGCATTTTGGTTTGTTGCCGTTGGTTCATAAAAAGCTCAACTTGATTCAAAAATGTATTTCAGTGAAATTTAGCTCAACTAACCGATTAAGAATGAATCACGAGAATGTAATAAATTATAGCACCAAGTGAGAGAGTATACAATAGAGAAAAGTGAAGATTACTGTTGGGCAAAAAATATGTGCTACTGAACAAAAAACAATTGAATTACCTTAGGTATTTGAAAAAACCAGATGGCGACCAAGTTTTTATAAATCAATCCTCATTCACACTTAATTTCAAGCCAGTGAAAACGAAACAAAAATATGATTTTTGTTCCGACTTCCTTAACGAAAGATACGGACTATTTGTTCCGTTTTCACTGGCTTGAACTTTTGGACCAAGTTAACATCCTCCTCCCTAAACACGTTTAGGGGTGAGGATGTTAACTCAACTTGGTTTTAAGTTGAGAATTTTCAGCCAATCAGAATCAAGCATTTTACATGCAGCGCTTAGAAAATTTAATTTAATTTACGCGCTGGGGTGGAGGATCTTAACTTGGTCTATTAGGGGGGGGGGGGGGGGGTTTAGGATGTTAACTTGATCCGAACTTTTAAACTAGCCATTTTTGACGGGATTTTTTTAATATATCATTCAAAAGCTATTGTTTACCTGCGATCATTTTTCGTAAAGTTATGGGGGTTAAAAGATTGCCATTTCGGCCAGTTTGGGACAATTAACGCGCGATATATTTCGCGCTATTAACACGTAAGCGAAGATTTAAAACCGTATTAGAAATCGTTCCAAATTGGTTGAAGGAAGCTTATTTGCCCCAATTGATTTGTTAGAAGGAGCGAAATCTATCACTTTGTACATTATATGGCGTGTGGGGGGATGATTTTTGCATAAATCTCAAATTAAAAATGAACTACTCATTTTTTTCTTTCATTTAATTTTTCATGTTGTTACTGCTCCATAGACCTTAAAAAGCAGTCGGAACACTTGGGGCCTCGTCCTGATACGAGCAGCCTTGTTGTTCCGACTTTCGATACGAAAGTAACGGAATATTTGTGCTCGGGGTGGGTTTTTTTCTTCTCAGACAAACTTCGACTTTTTAACTAGCCATTTTTGACGGAATTTTTTAAATTTCACTCAAAAGGTAATGTTGTCCTGAGCTCAAAGTTGAAAAGATATTTCACCTGTCATCATTTTTCGTAAAGTTACGGGGGTGTAAAGATTGCAATTTTGGCCAATTTGGGACAATTAACGCGCGATATATTTCGCGCTATTAACGCGTAAGTGAGATTTAATCTGTCTTAGAAATCGTTCCAAATTGGTTTAACGAAGCTTATTTGCCATAATTGATTTGTTACAAGGAGCGACATCTATCTTTTTGTACTTTATATGGCGTGTGGGGGGATGATTTTCATTTTTTTTTAATTTCATTTAATTTTTTAATTTTATTACTGCTCCATAAACCTTAAAAGGCAGTCGGAACATTCAGGGCTTCGCCCTGATACGAGCAGTCTTGTTTAACTTTCAGTTTAGTTTTTAAGAGGATCAGACTTCGATTTTCACTAGAGGAGTCAATCATATCGTATGAAACTTTAGAAGTGTTAATCAGGCAGTACAGGAGTGATGAGTGCCTAGATAGAAAACATTTAGTGTAAGGACAGCGCTGGCTAAGGTTCACTTTATCACGATTCGGAAATCTTGCACAAATCAATGGCAGCACGAAACATACCATCAATTTTAGGCTAACGTTACCACGCCAAGCTCGGACTGCATTCTATAGACATTGTCTCTGAATTTCGTGAACATTTCAACGAGCCACACGTCATTTACATGCTTTAAAAATGAATAGAATTTGACGACATATGGAAAACAACTGGGCGCTAAAAATGATCTTTTCTTGGTCGGAAGTTGTATGCAATCCGCAGTCGTTTTTGAGGTAGGAGGACAATTTACACTATTCAAATCTAACCTATGCCATTTTACCCTATATACAAATTTAATCTACTCCAATTTACCCTATGCCAAATTACCACACATTTCAGTTTCAGCCTTTATCACACTAGGTGTTAGGAACACGTATGGATGTGTTAACTATTTGAGTTCTACATGTAAACTGATAATTTGTTCACCATTCGATTAATAAATGCCAAATTCGCCAGCGGACCCAGTGCCAGTGTAACTGTTGAAACGCTGATGACTAATAAATAAAGCTCCTTTGAAATCAGTCCATACAAGCGAGCTCTGCTTCCCACGATTAGTGAGAGCTCGCCCACATTGCATGATAAAATAGCTGCATTGATTTTATACACAGATGTGAAATTAGGAACGAACTTGGTGAATATCAACAAGAGGAAACAAAATTTAATACACAGAATCAAACCAGTGAGCGTATTTACAATGTACAATTCGTAATATACAAAAGAAGGAACCAGATGGAATCCGATAGAAGCATAGAATAGAGAACCAAAGACATCTTTGAGGAGCTGCAGGTTCTCCTGGTTCGGATGCAAAGACAACAAATCTGAACCAGCGTAACGAACGATTGCGCCTGGAACGGAATATTAGCCATATTTTAAGGATCATTTGATTATACTTTTTAAACATGATAAATAGACAAATCAGATATGCGAATTATGAGTTCTTCTCAAATTTTCCACAAACAGTAATACGTATTTCGAATGTGCTGACTTCCGATCTGATGTACAGGATGTGCATATAAGATAGTGGACGATGGTTTATAATTGAAGTTAGATCTTTCAGAGGCATATCCAGCCGTTTATGTGTAATTGAGAGAATTTGAAGGTACTCTCGGTCAATAACTTATACAGTGTTCTACAAAACATCCTAACTTCGGCAAAAATCGCTTATCATTCCATTTCTCAAGCCTTTCGCATTTGAGTGATTCATCTTGGATCTCTTTAACTATATCCCACTTTTGCAAAAGGGGAAGATTCGTTACTAAATTCTTATATGCTTCTTCACCGTTGACATCAATGACATCCAATTGGTTTGATGTCTCTAAGATCGGCATCATTCTCTTCACAAGACATACAAGTCCTGATAAAACCAAGCACATGATAACCGTTTTTACTAAAGTAGATACCAATTGAGCATTGAACTAGCGCTGTTGTTCGTGTAGATGCGGCATGATGGCAAGAACAACTGCTAGGAAAACATGCTGTCCTATGTAGAACATTTTCAAAATGTCGTCGAATTGGACAGAAGTTGAATGTTGTATATTTGCAGAGCACTTGTGACTTGGACTTTTAGTAGAGACAGATAGACAAATGCTGACAATTGCCATCTCAAGCTTGGAAGAGCCTGAAACAAATTAGTAACGACTAGTTAAGATTGAAAGTTGAGCGGTCCGTCCAGCTGATATCAGATGGGTCTTCAGATTTTACAGCACATTAATCAAGATTTCGTCTGATCTCCCCGCGTTAAGAGTTCCTGCTTACTGCGCTGAATGCTTCCGATGTCCAGCAACGCTTATTTTCAACCCAAGAAATCTAAGTTTTATGCTTTTGTACGATTACCACTTGCTTCTTAAAACTTAACCTTCATCTTAGCCTCAATTTAGTAATCTGGAATAATAGCAGCGGCTACGATTATACCACTAATAAATGATCCGTCGGCGAATAATTCAATTAAACTCGAATTAACAATACAAGAACAAGCACCGTGTTCTACTTAATTATAAAAACAACAACAACTTCTTTTTTACCTACCAAATAAGGAGTAAAACGGTCCAAACACAGAAAAGAAGTGCTAAAGCAGGAAAAGCAAACACGATTATCTTCCAGTAGCTTCTTATTTTGTCCAGCTGTCCGCAATTGAATCCCAGATCGAAAACTGCAAAGAAAACTGCTATCTCTCCCAGAGTCGCTAGTTGAACTAAATCTGAGACCAGATTCAGACACGAAGGGCCGACAACCGCTCCTGAAAAGAAGGTTATCCTGAATCATTCTAAGTTATTTGGCTTTGGAATGCTAAAAAATAGCTGGATTTTTAAAAAAATTTTGATAATTGATTTTTGAATACATACAGAGGCGGAGCGGAGCAGCGCAACAATTCCGATAAAATTAAAACATTGCATTACAAGATATTGAATGGAAAAATGAAGTCAATTTTTTGAACAAATTAATAGAAAAAAGTCACAAAAAACTACATCAACAAAAATTTCATGTCTTTGCCTCGAATTATGTTCATAAACAGCCTTGACAAACATTGGAAAGCAATGGCCGAACGGCAATTGAGGCGACAAACAATGGTTCGACATTGTTAAGTTGAAAACGAAACTGTAGCCATGAAAAAACTTCAAGCAATAAAGTTAAAACTCTTAACTTTTACGACTCATCCCTCCTGAAAAACGCAAAAGCATTTAAAAATCGCCCTTGAAACTACGCATTGTAAGTTCACTAAACCCAAAAAAAGACATTTACCCAACCCGTTTAACCCAAAAAAAATAAATTATTCAAAATCAGAGTAGTAAATTTACAGAATTTATCTGAAAATGAAACTGTTTGAAACAAAAAAAATAATCTTTAGTAAGAAACTGCTTGAAAAGCGTACCAGATAACCTGTATTGCATATGAAAAAAAAGCGGAAAATCAGCCGACAGAAATTAGGACGAAAACCACATATCCGAAAAAATCCACGTTTTTCAATAAATATGTTTGAAAAATTAATTGCCATCTTTAAATCATATTATTCGAAATCAGAGTTGGTAAATTTACAAACTACGGAAAAAATAATCTGAAATTAAAACTTTGAAACGAAAATGAAAAAAACTAAGCTTAAGAAAGAAACAGTTTGAAAAGCGTACTAGATAAACTGAATTGCATTTGAAAAAAGGAAAATCAGCGGGCAGAAATTAGGACGAAAACCACAAATTCGAATAAACCAACGTTTAAAAAAAAACATATTTGAAAAATTAATTACCATCTAAAAAGAACAAAGAGGTAATTTTATTTGAATTTCTAGAAATTAAGCATGTCAGCCTGCACACGTGAAAGCAACTGCAGTAACTGAACGTATGTCTAAAAATTGTAAACAAAGGCGAAGCAAAGCTTCGCACCACTTGTGAAATGACTATCATTTCTTCCAGATGAAGCGAGAAATCGAAAATTAAAAATAGAAAAAACTATGAAAATTGCAAAAAAACATCCGAGATCTTGAAAATGAATCACCTTCACCATTACAAATTTTACAGATACAGGCGAAGCTGAGCTTCGCTTTCCTTGCAATAGAACACATACAGAGCATGACAAACTAACCAACAGAAATGGAGATAAAGCCGTAGAAAAACTTTGAAAATATATATAACAAAATTGATCTACCAAAAATTTTCCTTCTTTGTCTAAATTTCGTCTTGAATTAAAATTCCTTTCGACAAAATATGCCAAGAAGTAGACAATTGAATGTGAAAGGAGCATCAATAAAAACATACCAAGCTGACAATTCTTGAGCAGACACACGTTGCGCCAAAAAAGTGTTATCAGAAAAATTTTAAGGCCTCTAAGCCAATACCTATTCAGCCAAAAAAGAAATCTATCACTTTGTACATTATATGGCGTGTGGGGGGATGATTTTTGCCTAAATCTCAAATTAAAAATAAACTACTCATTTTTTTCTTTCATTTAATTTTTCATGTTGTTACTGCTCCATAGACCTTAAAAAGCAGTCGGAACACTTGGGGCCTCGTCCTGATACGAGCAGCCTTGTTGTTCCGACTTTCGATACGAAAGTAACGGAATATTTGTGCTCGGGGTGGGTTTTTTTTCTTCAGACAAATTTCGACTTTTTAACTAGCCATTTTTGACGGAATTTTTTTATATCATTCGAAAGGTATTGTTGTCCTGAGCTCAAATTTGAAAAGCTATTTCAGCTGCGATCATTTTTCGTAAAGTTATGGGGGTTAAAAGATTGCCATTTTGGCCAGTTTGGGACAATTAACGCGCGATATATTTCGCGCTATTAACGCGTATGCGAGATTTAATCTGTCTTAGAAATCGTTCCAAATTGGTTTAACGAAGCTTATTTGCCATAATTGATTTGTTACAAGTAGCGACATCTATCCTTTTGTACTTTATATGGCGTGTGGGGTGATGATTTTCATTTTTTTTAAAATTTCATTTAATTTTTTAATTTTATTACTGCTCCATAAACCTTAAAGGCAGTCGGAACATTCAGGGCTTTGCCCTGATACGAGCAGTCTTGTTTAACTTTCAGTTTAGTTTTTAAGAGGATCAGACTTCGGTTTTCACCTGAGGAGTCAATCATATCGTATGAAACTTTAGAAGTGTTAATCAGGCAGTACAGGAGTGATGAGTGCCTAGATAGAAAACATTTAGTGTAAGGACAGCGCTGGCTAAGGTTCACTTTATCACGATTCGGAAATCTTGCACAAATCAATGGCAGCACGAAACATACCATCAATTTTAGGCTAACGTTACCACGCCAAGCTCGGACTGCATTCTATAGACATTGTCTCTGAATTTCGTGAACATTTCAACGAGCCACACGTCATTTACATGCTTTAAAAATGAATAGAATTTGACGACATATGGAAAACAACTGGGCGCTAAAAATGATCTTTTCTTGGTCGGAAGTTGTATGCAATCCGCAGTCGTTTTTGAGGTAGGAGGACAATTTACACTATTCAAATCTAACCTATGCCATTTTACCCTATATACAAATTTAATCTACTCCAATTTACCCTATGCCAAATTACCACACATTTCAGTTTCAGCCTTTATCACACTAGGTGTTAGGAACACGTATGGATGTGTTAACTATTTGAGTTCTACATGTAAACTGATAATTTGTTCACCATTCGATTAATAAATGCCAAATTCGCCAGCGGACCCAGTGCCAGTGTAACTGTTGAAACGCTGATGACTAATAAATAAAGCTCCTTTGAAATCAGTCCATACAAGCGAGCTCTGCTTCCAACGATTAGTGAGAGCTCGCCCACATTGCATGATAAAATAGCTGCATTGATTTTATACACAGATGTGAAATTAGGAACGAACTTGGTGAATATCAACAAGAGGAAACAAAATTTAATACACAGAACCAAACCAGTGAGCGTATTTACAATGTACAATTCGTAATATACAAAAGAAGGAACCAGATGGAATCCGATAGAAGCATAGAATAGAGAACCAAAGACATCTTTGAGGATCTGCAGGTTCTCTTGGTTCGGATGCAAAGACAACAAATCTGAACCAGCGTAACGGACGATTGCGCCTGGAACAGAATATTAGCCAGTATTTAAGGATCATTTAAGTATACTTTATTAAACATGATAAATAGACAAATCAGATATGCGAATTATGAGTTCTTCTCAAATTTTCCACAAACAGTAATACGTATTTCGAATGAGCTGACTTCCGATCTGATGTACAGGATGTGCATATAAGATAGTGGACGATGGTTTTTAATTGAAGTTAGATCTTTCAGAGGCATATCCAGCCGTTTATGGGTAATTGAGAGAATTTGAAGGTACCCTCGGTCAATAACTTATACAGTGTTCTACAAAAAATCCTAACTTCGGCAAAAATCGCTTATCATTCCATTTCTCAAGCCTTTCCCATTTGAGTGATTCATCTTGGATCTCTTTAACTATATCCCACTTTTGCAAAAGGGGAAGAATCGTTACTAAATTCTTATATGCTTCTTCTTCACTGTTGATTTTTTTTATTATAGGAGGGATATATTCGTTACTAGGTACTCGAGGAGAATATAGTTTAAGAAATCCGTCATCTTACCCAAGAAAATGCATGACAATTCAGTTGACACTTCAGCCCAAGCAGATACCACGACAACACTGATGAGGGTCAACAGCAGAAACATGCCGCTAGATTTCCCTTTGGATTTTGATAGGTCATTGAGTGGTCTTGATACATCAATGACATCCAATTGGTTTGATGCCTCTAAGATCGGCATCATTCTCTTCACAAGACATACAAGTCCTGATAAAACCAAGCACATGATAACCGTTTTTACTAAAGTAGATACCAATTGAGCATTGAACTGGCGCTGTTGTTCGTGTAGATGCGGCATGATGGCAAGAACAACTGCTAGGAAAACATGCTGTCCTATGTAGAACATTTTCAAAATGTCGTCGAATTGGACCGAAGTTGAAAGTTGTATATTTGCAGAGCACTTGTGACTTGGACTTTTAGTTGAGACAGATAGACAAATGCTGACAATTGCCATCTCAAGCTTGGAAGAGCCTGAAACAAGTTAGTAGCAACTAGTTAAGATTGAAAGTTGAGCGTTCCGTCCAGCTGATATCAGATGGGTCTTCAGATTTTACAGCAAATTAATCAAGATTTCGTCTGATCTCCCCGCGTTAAGAGTTCCTGCTTACTGCGCTGAATGCTTCAGATGTCCATCAACGCTTATTTTCAACCCAAGAAATCTAAGTTTTATGCTTTTGTACGATTACCACTTGCTTCTTAAAACTTAATCTTCATCTTAGCCTCAATTTGGTAATCTGGAATAATAGCAGCGGCTACGATTATACCGCTAATAAATGATCCGTCGGCGAATATTTCAATTAAACTCAAATTAACAATACAAGGACAAGCACCGTGTTCTACTTAATTAAAAACAACAACAACTTCTTTTTTACCTACCAAATAAAGAGTAAAACGGTCCAAACACACAGAAAAGAAGAAGTGCTAAAGCTGGAAAAGCAAACACGATTATCTTCCAGTAGCTTCTTATTTTGTCCAGCTGTCCGCAATTGAATCCCAGATCAAAAACTGCAAAGAAAACTGCTATCTCTCCCAGAGTCGCTAGTTGAACTAAATCTGAGACCAGATTCAGACACGAAGGGCCGACAACCGCTCCTGAAAAGAAGGTTATCCTGAATCATTCTAAGTTATTTGGCTTTGGAATGCTAAAAAATAGCTGGATTTTTAAAAAAATTTTGATAATTGATTTTTGAATACATACAGAGGCGGAGCGGAGCAGCGCAACAATTCCGATAAAATTAAAACATTGCATTACAAGATATTGAATGGAAAAATGAAGTCAACTTTTTGAATAAATTAATAGAAAAAAAGACACAAAAAACTACATCAACAAAAATTTCATGCCTTTGCCTCGAATTATGTTCATAAACAGCCTTAACGAACATTGGAAAGCAATGGCCGAACGGCAATTGAGGCGACAAACAATGGTTCGACATTGTTAAGTTGAAAACGAAACTGTAGCCATGAAAAAACTTCAAGCAATAAAGTTAAAACTCTTAACTTGTACGACTCATCAATCCTGAAAAACGCAAAAGCATTAAAAAGTCGCCCTTGAAACTACGCATTGTAAGTTCACTAAACCAAAAAAAAGACATTTACCCAACCCGTTTAACCCAAAAAAAAAATAAATTATTCAAAATCAGAGTGGGTAAACTTATCTGAAATTGAAACTGTTTGAAACAAAAAAAATAGTCTTTAGAAAGAAACTGCTTGAAAAGCGTACCAGATAACCTGAATTGCATTTGAAAAAAAGCCGAAAATCAGCCGAAAGAAATTAGAAAGAATTAATTGCCATCTTTGAATCATATTGTTCCAAATCAGAGTTGGTAAATTTACAAACTACGGAAAAACTTATCTGAAATTAAAACTTTGAAACAAAAATGAAAAAAAAACTAGGCTTTAGAAAGAAACAGTTTGAAAAGCGTACTAGATAACCTGAAGTGCATTTGAAAAAAAGGAAAATCAGCCGACAGAAATTAGGACGAATACAACAAATTCGAAAAAACCAACGTTTTTAAAAAACATATGAAAAATTAATTAACATCTAAAAAGAACAAAGAGGTAATTTTATTTGAATTTCAAGAAACTAAGCATGTCAGCCTGCACACGTGAAAGCAACTGCAGTAACTATGAAAATTGCAAAAAAAACCGAGATCTTGAAAATGAATTACCTGCACCATTAAAAACTTTACAGATACACGCGAAGCTGAGCTTCGCTTTCCTTGCAATAGAACACATACAGAGCATGACAAACCAACCAACAGAAATGGATATAAAAGCAGTAGAAAAACTTTGAAAATATATATACAAAATTGATCTACCAAAAATTTTCCTAGTTTGTCTAAATTTTGTCTTGAATAAAAATTCTTTTCGACAAAATATGCCAAGAAGTAAACAATGTGAAAGGAGCATCAATAAAAACATACCAAGCTGACAATTCTTGAGCAGACACACGTTGCGCCAAAGAAGTGTTATCAGAAAAATTTCAAGGCCTCTAAGTCAATACTTAGTCAGCCAAAAAGAAAGAAATTTCAGCAAATCACGTGGTAAAAACAGTACGAATTTAAGAAGTGCGGAGGCGTAAAAAAAAGTTTCATTGGGAACAACCCAAAAAAATCAAACACATGCCGAAAAAACTTGAGCCGACTAAAGGTAACTAAAATTACGAATTGCAGGAGTTAATCAAACACAAAAGGCAACATTTAAAAAACTAATTTAAGATGTCGCAATTAAGCCGGCAAAAAAAAAGCAGACAAATAATTGGCCGATAATTTTTTTGAAACATCAAATTTCCTGTTTGAAAAAAAAGGTACTGGTCAGATTCGAACCTAGGCGTCCTTATTACATACCGGCTAAGTCGGCCCAGAACCCTATGAAATTGAAATGACCATGAAACAAGGTTTCGCCAGAGATGAGTAAAGAAATCCACTAGAGATGAGTCCTGTGAGCAATGCTATTTGTTGTGCAGCAAAAGTTGGGAAACGAAAAATCACCAATCCGACTGAATAAAACTAGTGATTCGCAAAGAGTGTAAATTATTTCATGAGTTATAGATAGAAGTCAATTGATTTTTGTTAAATGCGGTTTTAAATAAGTAAATCAGTTCAATCGTAGATTTATTTCAAGTAGAAAGCTGAGATGTCTTTTTTAGGCTTCAACATTCCGCCTCCCTTGAAGTGTCTTCAATTTTCAGATCGTTATTATGTCTGGATATGACTACCCATTTACAGTGTATGAGACGAAGGAGAGGAAGAGTAGGGCGGAGTCGGGTAGAGCACCACGTCTGCCTCCACATGGCGAGGTGCGAAGGTCCAGTAGGCGGGGCGCTATCGACCGGGAGGACCCGCAGGGTTTCTTCGATGCAGTGACCAGAGGAGATCTGGGTTTCACTCCGATTCCTGTAAAGTCGTTGGATGAGATCCAGTCTTCAAGGAAGGAAGCTGCGATCGTGGATAGGGCAGTTCTGCGGTTTCCGAAAGCTGAGACTGTGAGTAGCATTTATTCCATTGTATCATAGTAGTAGAGTATAGCGGGTGTGCATCAATTGTTTGTTTTGTTTTAGAAGTCTTAAACGTATTAGTGACCTCAGCGTAGAAGGGTCATTGTGCACTGGCTGGGAGGTTGGAGTTAACTGTTGAGAGACTCCTAGTGTGACAGCTAAGGGCGTTATTGGCGTCATGTCTGGAGGTCAGACCAGATGGCCGAAGCAGGTCTTTTCTTTTCTTCTCCAAGGTATTTTTGTAGAGTCCTCGTCCTTCTGCACTTTCCATCAAGACTTGGATGAGGAAGATGATGCTGTTTTGTGTCTTCTGGGGGGCCGAAAGTTGTGGCTGATGACATCTGAAGTTAATCTCTCTGGTGAACTTGAGCGCCTGGCCGGTAGCAATGATTCGGAGATGGGGTTCACTGATGCTGCTAAATATCCGAGGAACCTTGGTTCTCAGCACAAGAAACTGGTCCGCTATGGTGTTCTTGAGAAGGGGAAAAGTTTGTATCTTCCATATGCGTGGTGCCATGCAGTTCTGACTCTCTGCGACGAAGAGAGGGTCTGCTGCATGTACTATGCGGAGATGCAAACTCGACTTTCCTTGGTAGCATCTGCGTGGAAGCGCTGCCAGCAACACTGCAGGGTCAACAAGCGAAGAGGACCAGATGACAGCGAATCGCATGACAGCGAATGACTGTTCAACGGTAAATATGTAAACAATTATTCAATAAATGAACTAAATGTGACTGCACCATAAGTAATGAGTATACAAGTGAAGTATTAACGGTACGAGTCATGAGCGAAAGTTTGTGTACTTAGAAAAACATTTTATGCGAATTAATGGTTGTAAATCATTACAATACATCTTTGATTATAATTTTAAGGCAAAGATAACATTTTAACAGTTTGACGTGATCAGAGAGCCTATTATTACATTCAAGACAGTAGCGTAGGCGTATCCTAGCTGTTTTCAGACAATAATTACATTTTGGGTCATGAGGGTACAACCTCATTCGAATTTTAATGCACGATTTTGCACAAAAATTGATGAAAATTTACATCATTTTCGACTTTTATCAACATACAACATTGGGATTTTACATGAAAGTGGTCAATATGAACGATTCAGACCATACTGCATTGCATAGGGGGTAATTTAGGTTCCTACTTTCAAAAGGGTCATGGGGATACTACCACTTAAAATTTTGAAAACTGCACATTTTTGATATTTTTCGATTTTTAGCACTATAAAGTTCTTGTTTTAAATGAACTGCACATTGGATATGACTTGGTTATTATACTGGCAGCTTCCGCAGCTTCGCGACTGGGCGTATGTATTCACCAGTTGTGGTCTTCACTTTTACCATTCGAACAATCGAGTCATTTCCAGGATAAACTTCTATGATTCGTCCAGTTTTCCATTCTAGCGGTCGTTCATTGTCTTCGGCAAGTAGGACTAGGTTGCCAACTTTAAACTCTGGGCCATCCGTGAACCATTTTTTCCGTATTTGTAGCGTTATGAGGTAATCCCTTTTCCAAACTTTCCAGAAATCCTTGATCATATTCTGTAATAGTCGATATCGTACATTGGTTGAAACTTGGATGTCAGCAGAGGGAAGAGTTAGCAATGATTCCCCTATCAGAAAATGAGCGGGTGTCAGCGGAGTTGGGTCGTTAGGGATCACTTGACATTGGATACAACGGTCGTGAGTTTAAGACAGCTTCAATTTGATTAAGAGTTGTAAGAAATTCTTCAAAACTGAGACGTTGCAGTCCTATAACTTTCGCATATGTCTCTTCATACTTTTTACAGCTGCTTCCCAGAGTCCTCCGAAGTGAGGAGCACGAGGAGGGATGGTGACCCATTCAGTTCCTTGGCTATTGACGAAACTAACAACTGATTTGTCCGTTCCATTTTTGTCGAGCAGTTCCTTGATTTTGATCAGATCATTTCGAGCCCCGATAAAATTGCTTCCATTGTCACTTAAGATCTTCTCAGGTTTGCCACGGCGTGCAGTAAATCGTTTCAATGAAAGGATGCATGCTTCTTTGGTTAGACGAGTAACCATTTCCAAATAAATAGCTTTTGTCGCGAGACAAACAAAGACGGCAACATAAATTTTTGAGACCTTAATGAAGCATCTTGTTGAGTGAAAAGCTGACGAAGCTATTCCATATGTAACACGTGTCATGCTGAGATGCTTGATTTCATCCGATTTATTTGATCTTCAAAGTATGAGATGGAAATCCTTCGATTTGTCCTCTAGAGCAACTTGTCGGTACATTTTTGCGATATCTGCTGATAAAGCAATTGGGTAGAACCTGAAGCGCATGATTATCGAGTAGAGGTCGTCCTTTACCGTGGGACCAACCATCAAAGTGTCGTTGAGTGATTGTCCGGTTGATGTTGTTGCAGATCCGTCGAAAACTAAACGTAGCTTTGTGGTAGTAGAATCTTCCTTGAAAACGCAGTGATGTGGCAGATAATATACGCTATCAACTGGCTTTTCGATTTCTCCAGGCGGCATGTACTCCATATGCCCCATATCGAGAAATTCGTCTATGAATGCGGTATAGCGATCTTTTAGTTCTGGATTCTGTTCCAGTCGTCGCTCGAGATAATTGAATCTGCGTTTTGCTTGTGCTAAACTGTCGCCAAGTTGACTATTGGGCTTGAAAGGCAGCTGCACGGTGAATCGTCCATTTTGTAGTATGGTTGTTTCCTTAAAGTGAGATTCACATCGATCTTCTTCTGTTGTTGTCTTTTTGAAATCAGGAATTTCTTCTAATTCCCAAAAATTCCTTAGACTATCGTCAATAGACAGATGAAATGACTTGAAGAAGTTTGTTGGAGGACCGGGTGTTCCGCCGCTAATCATCCAACCAAATAGAGTGTCACGTGCATAAATCTTGTCTGTAAGCTTAATCTTTTCGCAGCCAACAATGTCGTTGTAGACATCACAGCCTAGGATTATATCGATTTCCTTTGGTTTATCAAAGTCTGGGTCCGAGAGCTTAAGACGTGTGATATCCAAACTGTTCGGTATATTCGGCTCATTGTGTTCAGTACTAATTGCCCCCCGCCATGAAGAGTATCTTCATGATATTTGCGTATAAGTAGGGATACTAAATCAGATTTTTTCGAAACGAGTATTGGAAACTTCTTGTCTGTTGGGTAGTTCGATTGTGAAAGTCTGCCTCCAACTCTTAGTAGATCGTAATCCTTGTCGAAAAACGGACTAAGATTGAGTAGTTTCGATGTTTTACTCAGCTCCCTTTTCACCTTCAGACAATTTAGCTCTGATTTGAAGTGTATTTCTTGGTCTAAACAAAGAAATAGCATTTTTGCCATGATTCTATTTTTAGGACTAAGACAATCTTCTTCAAGTTGTACATCAGATGTCCGCTTAGATCTGAGCCGCCTCCGATAGTTTGTCCATATTATATGCTTAAGATGTTGAACAAATGATAGTACATAGCATGCGATGCGTACTGTCTTGTTCCAAGTGCTGTAGTCCTTTAAACGAAAAATTCCATCCGTCATTTCTTTGTTTTGAGCATGTTTCTGCATTAGTCTTGGCTTTGACGGTTCGTTTTTCAGGTGCTTCAACTAGAGATGGTTGTAGGTTGGGCCAGTGCCTTTCATCCTTGGTCAGCCAATCTGGTACATTCCACCAGAGTGAGGAAGATCTTAATGTGTCAGCTAATACACCCCGAGAGGCTAAATCAGCTGGATTTACTGCTGTTGGCACGTGTTTCCAATCACTTCTGGGTAGGGTCTCTTGTATTTGTGAAACTCTGTTTGCAACAAAATTGTTCCACGTTCTTGGAAGTTGAGCAAGCCATTGCAAGACAATTGTTGAATCAGTCCAGGCGTGTGAAGTTATCTTGAGATTTGTTTTCCTCAAAATTAAATGAACTGATTTAAGAAGTTTGGTAGCTTAACTTGCACCGCAGAGCTCTAATTTGAGAACAGAGATTGCTTTGACCGCAGCAACCTTTGTTTTGGAGGTCAGTAGATACGCAAAAGTTTTGCCATCATCATTGGTAATTCTTGCATAGATTGCGGCTGCATATGCTTTTTCGGAAGCATCACAGAATACGTGAAGTTGAACATCCTTTATTGGATGTGAGCTCATAGATCTTCGTATCTGTAGTTCCAGTAGTTGAGGCAATGTTCCGGTGAGCTCATACCATTTTTCCTTGGTTTTCTGATCGACTTCAGAATCCCAATCAAAACCTTGGACCCATAGCTGTTGCATGAGACATTTGAAATTGATGATGAATGGAGCTAGCCATCCCATCGGATCAAACAATTTTGAAATTGTGGACAGAAGAGTCCTCTTTGTAAGCAGTTTCATCTCTGGTAAGGCAGTTGAAAAACAAAAGATGTCCTTATTGGGCTTCCAACTGACTCCTAGCGCCTTGATTTTGTATTCGTCAGAGAAAAGTTCCAGCACATCCGATTTTTCGCGGAGATGTTCTGGCAATCCTTCAATTATTTTAGCATTGCTTGAAGTCCATTTTCGTAGAGGGAATTCATGAGAGTTCAGCTCTTCGCATAAATCAGAGATGACTCTTTCTGCTTCATGCTTATCATTAGCGCCACCAAGAAAGTCGTCTACATAGAAACAATTTTTGAGACTTTCTTTGATCATTGGGTTCTTAGATTGATCGGCTACTTCATTGAAGCATCTTGTTGAGTGAAAAGCTGACGAAGCTATTCCATATGTAACACGTGTCATCCTGAGATGCTTGATTTCATCCGATTTATTTGATCTTCAAAGTATGAGATGGAAATCCTTAGACTATCGTCAATAGACAGATGAAATGACTTGAAGAATTTGTTGGAGGACCGGGTGTTCCGCCGCTAATCATCCAACCAAATAGAGTGTCACGTGCATAAAGCTTGTCTGTAAGCTTAATCTTTTCGCAGCCAACAATGTCGTTGTAGACATCACAGCCTAGGATTATATCGATTTCCTTTGGTTTATCAAAGTCTGGGTCCGAGAGCTTAAGACGTGTGATATCCAAACTGTTCGGTATATTCACCCGTTCTCTGGGCAGGTAGCCAGAAAGTTTTTGAAGAGTGAAGGCTTCAATATGTAGAGATTGATTCTGAGAATCCTTTGTTTCCAGATTGACAGAACCAGATTTCACAGTTTTTACTCCTCCGCCAATTTCTTGATTGGTAGCTTGAGTCAGTTAGCACAGCTGGTTGTAACGAAACTGCATTCAGATCCGCTGTCCAGTAAGGCTCGACAATTGTGATAACCGCCATTTGCAGTTTTTACCTCAATTAGTACAGTTCCCAGTATGGTAGTGGCACCGGTAGTACCCCCGTGACCCGCAAACTTATTTTCAGGTCCCGGTTGGTTGTTTGGGTCTGTATGGATGTGAAGTAACGAGTGATGACCCTTTCGACAGGTTTTGCACGTTGACTTCGACTTGCACTCATGATTTTGGTGTCCAAGGGACAGGCAATTGAAGCATAATCGCTTTGATTTGGCTTCTTGTCTTCTATTGGAAATAGACATTTCCTGAAATTTTGTGCATTGATACACGCGGTGATCACCACTGCAGCATGGGCAGATGATCGTCTTAGCAGAGTTCGTGTGGTATGTCTGTACCTTGTCATCTTTCTTAGAGTTTCCAGATTGGTCTGAATTTCCTTGATGATTTTTTCTATGAATTGAAGGTAACTGGAGGTCCTTCGTAGCTTCTAGGGCGCGAGATCGTTCCTGCGAGATCGTTCCTGCAAGATCTTCTTCCTCTGTTTGATTTTTGGCACGTCATTTCCCGCGCAGGTAAGTTCCCATTGTCTTCTAGTTTCAGGATCTAATTTCTTGGCCAAAACGTGAACCCAGATCAAATCGCATTGATCAATTTTTAGTCCAAGTCCTGTCAGTGCCATCGTGTTTTCCGAGTAGATGTTAATCAAGCGACGTATTGCAGCGGATGACCCATGCTTTATTGGAGTGAATTCAAAAATTGCTTCCAAGTGAGCGCGTGATATCATCTTGACATCAGCATATCGATCCTTTAGAAGTTCCCTTGCGACTGAGTAGTTCGCGTTTGTAGTAGGCAAGTGGGATAGCAAACGAAACGGTTCATCCTTGAGGGCACCCTTTAGGTATTGCAGTTTCTGAACATCAGACAGCGATGCATTTGAGTGAACTGCTCCATCAAAGGAATCTAAGAAAGGTAGCCATTGATCATACCTTCCGCTAAATGTTGGCGAATTCAGTTTCGGCAACTTCAGGCAAGTATCTTGGTTTCGGCCAGCACCACGTTGGGAAGTGGATTTGTAGGATCCTGTTCCACTTGCGCTGTCGTCATCTTTGACCGATTCAGTTGAATATTTTCCTCGGTCATCTAACATAGTTGTGATCATTTCCATCAAACAATCTACTTGAAGGTAGATTTTCTCGGCTTCTTCCAATTCAACTTCAAGTGCATCTTCATCATCGTTTAGAACATTTGAAATTTGCTGATTAAGCTCTTCCAGTTCCTTTTTCTTTCGTTCGCACATCGTGAGATTGGCCTTGAGAGTTCCAATTTCCTTGTAGGTTAGAGCAGATGCCTCTTCGTTGAAGATTGCTGAGACGGCATTTTCCGATCGGGTAATGACACCGATGTTAGCACTTCTTGATCGCTTCAAAGCAGGAAGAGTGAGCGTCACGTTGCTCATGTCACTAGCAGGTGATGACATTTTTAACTTTCCTCTTTGTTTCTAATCTTTGGTTCGTTCGTGAGTCGCGTTGCACCAAAAATGTTGTGCAGCAAAAGTTGGGAAACGAAAAATCACCAATCCGACTGAATAAAACTAGTGATTCGCAAAGAGTGTAAATTATTTCATGAGTTATAGATAGAAGTCAATTGATTTTTGTTAAATGCGGTTTTAAATAAGTAAATCAGTTCAATCGTAGATTTAGTTCAAGTAGAAAGCTGAGATGTCTTTTTTAGGCTTCAACACTATTTACGGGATAAACGTCTAGGACCCGATCGCAACACCCATGCTTATCGCGAGGGTTAAGAAAAATTGGTTAAGGGAAAATTTTCTAGTTCCCGATTACAAGTCACTTGCTCTCGCAAGTGAAAAAAAATTATACTGGTAGTTTACTAGTTTAAAAACTTTATAAATCGCCGGTAAATATAATTTTTTTAAAAAAATTCTCGATATGATACGAACCAGCAGCAATAAATCCAATTACAGATGGTAGCATCATCATATTGCACAAATGGGACATGAAGAAAGCAGAGACAACAACCAAAAACATATCCACGATGAGTTTGCGGTCCTCCAAAGAAAGAGTGATATCTTTGGGTCTGGAGAGGACATATTTGTTGTCCCGACTGTCAATCAACATTCCAGCTGGACGATCTCCAATGTTGCCATCCAAAAGAGCTCTGTTCTCTCGGACCTACAAAAGGTTGGGTTACTTTTTGTGTCAACAGAGAAAAAGGCATATCACTGCATCTGAAGAATGCAATGGTAAGCTATCCATATGTGGAAATCAGCGTTTTCCATTCAAACTGATAATCAAGATCAAAGTCTTGCCTTACAACGAACGACGAGCTTCCTTAATCGGTTTTTAAACCTCTGCGGCTGATAATTTAAGTGAAAGTACTTACGGGTACATGAATTGTGCAAAAGTACCTGATAAACAGCTTCAATTTCTCCTATGTGCTTTTCACGATACTGCTGATAATCTTCTTTTTTCAAAAATCCATCCTCATCATCACCATCACCATTTGAAAGATCCGCGGCAGCCAGATGCAACTCATTCATCATATCGACAAACATCTGCTTAACGCTTGAAGATTCATTTATCTGTTTCCGAAAACCCTGCAGCGAACTCAGCTTTGTCTCAATTTCAGATACTTCGTTCAGCTCTTTTTCTTCTGCAAATATAGCGTATTGCAACTGGTTTATGCGATATTTAGTGTTAGCTTTAAGAAGCTCAATGTCGTTGACGTCGCCTTTTAAGACTCCTCCGAAAGAATCCAGAGCTGATAGTACAAAGTATTCTGATTGGTTGATTTCCTTCAGAAACAAACTATACAACTCCAACTTTAGATCGTATTTTTCTTTTTCGATCTCTGAACTTCCGATTTCAGATGACTTTGATAGTTGTTTCATTAACTTATTCACATGTGCTTCAACATTGGCCTTTTTTGTAAGCAGAGTTGAAACTTGACTACAGCCGTTCGAAAACCATTGCGAGTTTCGGGAAGCTATTGGCTTTGGTAACTGATTAACATTCCTTGCCTTCGCTGAAAAGACAGACCCAAGACCTGCCTTAGTCGAGATGATAAGAATGGTTGCTACCATTACACAGCAACAACCCCTAGAGGGGCACATTATCATATACTTTTTAAATCTAAAAAGCATAATTCATAATGTAATACATATATTATACATTGCAAGAACTTCGCTTCATAATGCCTATGAACTTAAAACAACCCAGAAGCTCTATTGACAAGCCAACCGTACAATTGCCCCCTAAATCGATTATGGGGGGATAAAATACCGGTTTTTCCGAAATTAATTTCCAGGGCAAAATTTATCGATACAAAACAATTAATATCTTAGGTTACTAACAGTAAAAAATAGCTGTTCCGTGTAAAACATTTTCTCGAGTCGTATATTCTGCGCGCTTGTTTGAAATGAATATTTTATGCCGAAATAAATTTCAGAATTAATACATGCTTGGAGAGGACATTCTACGGTAGGTCACTTAGGGGAGAAATTGTACGGTTGATCCTTCATTCTCTACGGGACCAAACAAGTAACTAGTACCATAGGTAAGAACCTACTGACGAAACTTACCACTATTGGGAAGGATGGAATATTTTGTGTGTTCCAGTGATTATTACAAAGGCGAAGTTGCAGTTCGCATACACAAGCAAAAATATTGCCGATAACGCTACTGGGAAAAACTGAATGAGTAAAACTTAGTCTAGAAAACTTCTTAAGTGACGCACGCCAATTAAGAGTCTACATAACTGCTAAGTGACGCAATCCAGTTATAACGCATTAGCAGTACCAGTCAATTTAAAAAATATATCTATCTAACATGCCTCAATTTATAGAGCGGAAGCATTTTAACTAGTATACGAAAAAGTTCATTCAAAACATCAGAACCTGCCCAGGTTCGAACCCTCTTATTTTATTGCGGTTCTCCTTCCATACCCTACGCTACAGATCCATGATACCTTGAGGCTAAAGTGCAATTTGTAAAATAAAAGTATTTGTTAATATCCTCAGCATTGGCTGTACTTAATAGCAGGTTATTGATCAAAATGAACACTTTAAGAACGAACACATTTTGTCGCAACAATATTTGTGTCGCATCAATATTTGCGACTCAGGTTGGAAAAAAAGAGAGTTCATACTAAAACACAAGCTTTGCCTGTGTAACTAGCTTATAAATATAACCACTTGTAATGCATTAGTACTCATCGAGAATTTCTCCAATCACTCTAAAATTGCTTTCAACTCATGTGCATTAAAAATTTTGACAAAGTGCTCCTTATTAGAAAAATATTACTTTCTCAAAAATAAATTTTCAACGAGAAAGCGTTATGCAAGCGCGAAAAAAGCGACAATATGCCTTGGAAAAGAATCGCCAAGCCAGTAATTATAGCAATAAATTTAAAACATTTATCAGACCAACTGCAGCAGAACCATTTGTAAACGTTCGATTTCAGCAAAAAAAAAACATTGTTGACATACTTCAAGTTGAGTAATCAACAGAATTTGTACAGCCAATGGCCAAGTTGTTTTTAGTTTCAACCATGGATTCGGTATTTCTGAACCTGCTGAAGAAAATTAGAAGGTCCGCTGCAATTTAACTTCAATGAACAATTAATCTCATCACGGATCTAGTAACAAATAATTCAGTCCTCCTCTTCTTCCTCTGCAGCGTCTCCTTTCCCGTTAGCCATTTTAGCCCCTCCCCCTCCCCCTGTAGTTGAGTCTGTCTCCTCCCCCTCACTGTTGGAATCGTCACCGGCCACCTCTTGATTCTCCTGCTCCAATTTCTCCAACTGCTTCGCAAACTCCAAATCGTCCGCCCTGTTCACTACCTTTGGCTAAACAATGACATTTTTTGCTTTATTTTTAAACCCATTTGTCAACGAGAGAAATGAACAACATGCGAAATGTTCTGCTCTTCCACGGAGAACCTCTTTTTTTGTTTTTGGGGTGGGGGGGGGCTGGTAATGTTATTATCAAGAACTCAAGCAACAAGAACCTACCACAGTAGGCATCGAACTACCGACCTTGCAATTGAAAAGGTGAAGAATCAGCCATTTCACCACCGCCCCCTTTAATAGTAATTCATTACTTACCTATTGTTTGCTTTGATTACATTTCCAAAAAATGCAAATATTACCAACTAACACAGTGACCTTTGGGCAATCTGAGTTGGTAGAATGAAAAGTTTCAGATTTACTTTTTAACCGAGTAGGTTAAAATGTATTAATTCCAAATAAGGCACCCTACAAATGCTGGTTACTTTGGCTACAATTTCTTAGTTTCGTACCTCAGAGACCACTTTGAAACTGCCTCCTGACTCCTCGATGCTCTCTTCTATCTCCCCCATAGCTTTGTTCACCGCTGCCAACCCGTCTGTGTGGTCTAGCGTAGTCACCGTTAACACATATGTAGGCGGTGCTATTAAATTTACCTATAGCACAAACATATTTAGACTAACGTAGCTTATTCTAACTGAGGCAAAGGTGCACTTCGCAAACACAAGCAAGAGAAGGGGCAAAAATAGGCAGAATTTTTTTTAAAAAGGTAACAATTGTATAAATTCCGCTATGTGTAGGAATCAATCCCCCAAACCTGGAGATTAAAAGTCACCTTCCTCGCATCTGCTCCATGGCCGCTCACAATAGTAAAACACTAAAAGCCCAGCTAAAGTACCTGTTCGATAATTATTTTAAAAAATTGTACAGAAATGCGCGAATGGCAGTGTATATGTCAAAATAAGTCAAAATGTTTAAAATTGGACATTTATCAAGTCCATAGATGATTCCTACCAAAACTACGGATAACACGCTGTCGCAGAGGAGATTACATCTCCATTTAATTTCTTTTTTTTCTGAATTGTCATGGTAGTTTTTGGGAAACTTAGCAAAGTTCAAAATTGGGTCATAAAGTCAAATGTTTCTGAAACCTATAGCGTATTCTTAACCAAAATCGAAAAAAAATGCTTACGCAAGGAATACCCTAACTTCTATGACGAGAAATGTTCTGGTACATGTTCGGCAAGTGTTTGGTAAGCTGGAGGTACGTGTTTGGTACGTGAATCAATTTGCTATACTGATGCGGCACGAATAGTGTAATTTCAAAAATTGGACTTTGCCCAAAACCATAGTTGTTTCTCTACCAAATTAAGTGAAAAAGAGTTTAAAAAAATTTGGTAAAATGAATTTTCCCAAGAAGAAAACTGCCAAAACTCTAAACTTTGACTTAATTAAAGGCCATGACTTTTTCTTACACAAAACTGGCATAGCCAGTTATAAAGGTAGGCTTTCAACATCATGTTATTTTGATTAAACTTCCTATAAATTTGATGAATCAGATTTGGCAGGATAGTTAGCAAGAAAAGTCCAAAAAACGGTCAACAAATCTAAAATAAGGCTTTTCCGAGGGCCATAACTCTTTGTGGCAAATTTTTTGTGGAAATCTGATAAATAAAATCCATTTAATTAACATTAAAAAGAAATGAAAAGTCAGACCGCGAAAAATCAAATCTGAGCCTAAACAAATTTTACGACTTTTACTGAAAAAAAATCATCGCAACCTATATAAGAGTCGGAACTACGTTCATCGATTTTTAAAACTAACTTATTTGAGAGCCTTGTAGCTTGACGTCATTTTAGTAACCTTCCAGTGGTTCCTAGTTCAAAGATTCACCCCTATAAAAGACTTACTCAACGGTTCAGCATATGCGAGTATTTAATTTGATAACGATTTTTTATCTCTTGCAAAAAGGCGAGGGATTGTTAAAGAATCCAAAAAAAACGTCTGGTCAAGAAATTTAAATTCGGTGCTTCATAATTCAGAACTTAAAACAATACTTACTGATATTTGCATTTCTTCTGTTGAACAAGCAATTCCTCGCTTCAGAGCACGTTTTATTGCGTCGATTCCCTCAAAATTGAAACAGGATACTTCTACATCTGAAAAAGTTCCAATGTCATTTCAAGATACACAAATTCTTAGTGGTCTAGAACATTCTCATAACACTAACCAGCTCTTATTTTGACAGGGTTGGGCGCCAGTCTCCTCTGGATCTCGGCTAGCAAAACTTCTCGCACATTATTGTCAAGTGGGCACTCATCCAAAACTGAAGAGTCAGCGACCGCTTTCTTGAACCACTCGAACGAGGCATTATCTTGCTTGAACTTCTCGTCAAAGTACCACGCACTCTTGCTGTATAGCTCTTCTAGTTGGTTGTCTTCTTTGTACTGTAATTTCTGTGCGACGTTTCTGAGGATGAGGTTGATTTTGTTGCCCTTGGCGTGTTTGCTGTGGCAAAGGTCTCTGTCTTCGGGACTAGCTCTCCGTTTAGAACAATCAATGTATCCTACAACGGCTAGGTATTTTATATCTCTCTGCTTAGCTTTCGAGAAATTTCATTTTTTAAAAGTACAAATTCTTATATACAAATATCTAAGGCACCAACTTACAATTCGTTCTGCAGACAATTTCCGAAAAGTTGATATGAAAATTTTGCTGAAATAAGGTTGATAAAATGACCAACTTGAAGTGTTCAAAAAAACAAAAGATCATCTCAAGAATCAACTGTTCTCAATTGTATCACTCTCAAATAACCAATTCATACGTCATACTTGCCTTTAACGGGGTCTACCCTCACTACGACGACAGCTTCGTTCCTGCCCACTCGGATCAGTTTGTTGATTGATCTGATTCTCCTACGCGACAACTCACCCATCAGGATCATACCTGCAAACAAACGCACAGTTTGTTGTTTAAGTCCAGCACGCTTAAAGAACCCTTAGTGCGAGTCTCACGCCAGATCTCTATATAAAAGAAAAAATAAATGCATCTAATCCTTTTCTAAAATAGCCAACGAAAGTTGAAAAGTGACTAAAAAATTACCAAAAAATAATTGACTTTTCCGAAAATTCAATTTTCGAGTTTCAAGGAGACATATATCACCATCAGGCTCTTCAACTTTCCAGAGAATTCAATGATTGACCCTTTCTTGATGCAGCTGACCCAATTTGAGAGAACTGAATTGAGTTTTTTATTCCGCAGGGAAATCTTTTACGCAGTTAACTTCGGCAGAATTCCATTTTTGAAACGAAAAATCATTCACGTTTTTACGGGATAATTTATGGCGCTTGGCCTCTAAAATTCAACAGTGGAACCGCGAAACCTCAATTTCGAGCGCGAACAACTTTTTCGTAAAAAAACTGAAAAAAGGCAAAAACAACTTTCATTACGTTTATTGATACTTTATCGTGAGGATTCATAGTTAAAAAGGATCAAGTCAAAATCCTTCCCTTTTATTACACCGAATAGAGCTTCGACCCCAATACTTAATCAGGACCCCAATACTTAATCTATGTTTTACAACACTCGAAAAATTGAAAGACTTAATTTCAAACTAAATCAATTAAAAGTTTTATCATTTTCATTATAACGCCGTTGTTTTTATTATAGTTCCAGTCTCAGTGAAGCAATTAAAAGGTTTCGTGGGGCATTAGCATCCTAGCATCCTAAACGCAATTCAATTCGCTTATAAATTTAGGCAGGACGCCATAAAAAATTAACGTCATAAAAGCAAATGAAGTGCTTTTACCTTCGATGTTGTTGTATTCAAGGAGCTGCACGTAAGCGCCCATGTCTTCGATCTGTTTTATGGTGACCATGACTAACTCATCAGGTGCAGGGAACTTGGCCCTGTAGAACCTGCAGTTCAGGATCCCAGAGGACATTTCTCACCTGAAAGAGGATGGCCAAATTCAAACCTCATGAGACCTGATAATTATGAAGCCAGTAACAGTATTTTTGAAGTCCAATTAATCCGTCGTCCCATCATGATCCCCCATTATATCATGAAATTAGCTCATGTTATCTCGGAAGCGCTTCCAACCGACCATAAGAACCGATGCTGCCGGAGGTTCTTGCATCAGGTCGATTTGGATGCTTTAGAGGATGTTGATGACATGGATGAGTGAAAAGCTAAGGTTGTAAGAGGCTCCTTTGTATGCCACCAAAGCTAAATATGCATCCCGATGACTTACCGATTATTTTGACAACACTGGCTGAAAAACTTACAATCGCCAAACTTTATCCGGATGTTTGCAGGGTGTATTATGCTGTTACACTTTGTGAGGGAACAACTCAAGTATCTATATTTATCTATATATAGTGAAAGAAACTACAGTAAAATTAATCGAAAAACAACACAGTGTACAGACATTTGGAAAAGTTTCAATAAACGCAAGAAAACGAAAAAATATGTTTGACACTTTTTTGACAAAATCAACGCAATTTGAGAAAAATTGGATAAATATGTAATTTCTCGTTAGTTTTGAACGATTTACTCAGGCAAGGGTCACCAAATGAGTAAAACACAAAGGCAAAGCTGCGCTTCGCAAACACTTGCGAGAAAACAAACAAAAAGCAGCTCTATTAAATGAAAAAAGAAAAAGTAGAAATAAGCCTCGAATTAGCAAAAACTCGGCTGCTTGTAGGATTCGACTCTGCGAACTACTGCAATCAAGAGACCTACTGCGATCCACTCAGCCACCCAAGCTTAACAACCGACAAACACCAGTCACGCAAAAAGCAGCTACATATGCTAATAACTTGCCAATGCAATTCAGCAAAAGTGGCACAAAAAAACTCAATTTTGCTCAAAGTAATAGTTTGCAATATAACAAACTGAAGGCATCCTCTACTAACTTTGAATGTAACAAATCACAAAGCATAAAGCCACATTATGTATAAGTTATGCATTTCAAAAAAATCTCAAGTTATGGATTGGAAAATTTTTGAAATCGAGTTTCATTATTATTATGTTGTTTGAAACAAATAACTTTTTTCGGTTCATTTGATGACTTAAAAATGCATCAGTTTTGTTAACTTATTAGTATTCGAATGTCAAAGCACATGCTATCAAAAAGCTGTAAAGGTGCCCTCAAACAGAGGCACCAATATTTGCGACTTAAGTTTAAAAAAAAAAAGGTTCGTACTAATACACTCGCTTCGCAAGTCTAAATAAGGTGCTCAAGTAATTGTTTTAATCTCCTGAACTGAAATTATTGTGGTTGAATGTGATTGGCTAATTATTCAATCAAGCTCGATCGACATTCTTTGTCATTCCAATTGAAATTTCAAGCAAAAAAAAATAATTAGTCCAAATCATAAAAAAAAAATAAAATTTGTTTTGTCAAGCTTTTTACTGAATTTTTGTCTGGGTAAGGTTTCACGAGTGACTCAAAACTAGTTTGATTATTTTATTATGTTCCTTTTCGAAAATTTCGGTACCAGTTTTATAACTGCTGGAATTGTTGATCCGTGTTACTTGAATTTGATTGGCTAAAATTAGCCAATACAATTCGATCGCATAAATTCTAGCTTACGATACCGAAAAATTGATTTTGGACCATTTAGTGCGTAAGACCCTAAAACGGTAGTTCATACAAATCGTACATTTTCAAGGAACTCAGCATCTCATCGGATGGTTGAAAAATGAATCCTGTCCCACCAGACGAAGTGTCAACAGCGCTATTTGCTGACCTATCTCCATTCTTTAAAATCGTTTCTTTTTCTTTTCTCGATAAATCTATTCATTTTAATAAACACAGAAGGGAAGCTGCATTTCACAAACAATAGCAAGTACATGACAAAAAAGCAGCTCTAGAGTTCTAAAAAGTAAAAATAAGACTCGAATTAGTTAAGTTCGGTGATGTCTCAGAGTCGAACCTACAACCTTCTGCGACCTAGAAATTATGAGTCTCACGCACTAGCCACTCAACCACGGACATTTAGTCCATCATAAACACTAGCAACAAAGAAAGCCGAAAACATATGCTATGAAATTTCCACTGCTACAGATCGTGATTATAGCAAAAAAGCACACAATAAAACACTTTTAATGAACACTTTTATTTGCGAGCTAGGTTAGAAAAAAAGAAAGGTTCGTACTAAAACACTAGCTGCTCGCTAGCGTAATGACAAACAATAATTAATTATGGTGGACAGTTAAGGTGCACAAATATGTAATTTCATGTCGCAAGAAAAATGTACACATTTTAATTGTCTTTGTTGACTTGGTTACAGCAAATGAGGACAAGCTCCTAGCCTTCTATCAGGTTATAAATGCTTTCCGAAAACACATCTTTGTCACTGTAGTTGAGAAAAATTGCTGGATCGCTCTTGTTTCGCCTTAACAAATCCATAAATATAGGAAGAGACAAGCGACGAGCCAAAAGCATTCGAAGTTTAACTTAAACCTGGGCGAAAATCGTAATATACCATTCAGACAAGTCTGCTCTAAACACTGAACTTAAAATGCAAGTAAGACGAAGGGGCTACGTTTTTAAGCAGACAGTTTTTCAGCAACTCAAAACAATTTAAAAATCAAAACATGAACTACACGCGCGGCACTGACAAGAAGCGACGGCTTGCTCTGCTGCGCTTACATTCGACACGAGAGGAATTGTTAAAATTAGTGTTTGCCACAAACTAGTCTGTTTTGCTTCGAGTTTTGTTGAAAAATTGTGCATCAATTTTTGTTCCTCAGAAAATCTGTCAATTAAAATCATATACTTCACTTTTTACGCTAAAAAGAACGGTGCCCTAAGATGAACTACAATAAAACGGATCAACTGTAGAATATCCCCCCAACCCAAACCAATTTAGGGGTAAGAAAAAGTTTCTTTTTCAGGAAACAACTTTGAACATAGCCTTGATTTATACAAAAATAATAGTTTTAATCGAGAAAATTGATTGAAAATACATTAACTTAGGTCATAAACAGCGCTCAAATGCAATCCCACATAAACACTGAAAACCAATTTATTTGTGAGTTTTGTTCGAAATTCATACTTCACACATGATTGAATTTTAAAATTATTACATGCTTGGGAAGGACATTTTACGGCAGGTCACTTAGGGGGGATTGTACGGTTGATCCAATGAAACAAACCAAGCTAGTCAAATCAAATATGAGAACAATTTTTGGTGCTAGTGTGATAGTCCCAAAAACTTTACCGGGTCCCTAACTTAAATAGTGCCTCAAAATTGTTCAATTAAGTTCTTTGATTATCTCAATTTAAAAGTTGAATAGATTTGTGCGAATGAGGCAGGTTATTTACGCTTGAGAAAAAGTTTTAAAACGACCGACCTGCGCATTTTGAATTATTTATTTGCGGTATTTGACTAACATTTATGTAATTTGGGACCCCTATCTCATACTTGGTTTCTACCGGGACCCCTCTATCACACTTTTACCAAAAATTAATCACAATTAATCAAAACAGATGTGAAATGTTTCAGCTGTGCAGACCGGTAGTAAGATAATTATTAGCGGTACAAGTTTACTAGTTTAGATGATTGATTGTGAGAAACCTAGTTTAGCTGATTGGTCCCGCCTATATCTTAAAACAAAAGCAAGCGCGGGATTCGAATCTACACTTTTGGCCTACCATATTCGTACCCGCTAAGCCATAACTAAGCCAGTTGTGTCACCAAGATAGGAAAATTACTGAATTAACCCAAATACTGTATCTCTGTGTTTATTAAGGACCACAGTTATTTTGAGGGACCACAGTTATTTTGAAGTAAACTAGTACCATTAATTGCCTCAAAATATTCTCATTTTCGTTCCCACCAAATGGCGCTCAATTACCCGCGACCCGCGTGTTCACTTTGTTTGTTTGGCTCATTACAGTTCAGTGTCTAGGCAGGGGGTGTAGCGATTAGCATGTGTCCCTATTAGCATGCGATAATTGTTTTAATTGTGTCTGCATTCAGATAAAAAAACATAGTCCAAAATGTCAAATAGTAACGAAAACTACTAGAATTTTTCAGGAAAAAAAATCACTTTCGCCTAATTAAAAATTCGGCAAAAGGTACGCTGACAAAACTGCAACTTTGAGTAAACATAATTTTGAAATGGCGAGTCTTCAAACTATATGCTGATCACACACATCCTAATAGGCCAGTCCCCGTCTAGGGAGGCGTAGCAATTTTTATGATATTCGATTATCATCTTAGATTTATTTTAAGGCCTCCTTTGTTTTGAACTTGCAATTGGCGAATAGCGATGGTGCTAGTCTAATTAGTCGATATAGCAATAAACCGAATTAGCATTATAAGTTAAGCCAACTCCTCGTGAGGTAGTCAGAATTCGGTCCAAGCCATTACAGGTCGGTGGGAGCCTGTTGGTCTTTCTTTACGCGGGCAATTAACGTTCGATTTAAGCCATTACAGGTGAGGGTGAATTAATGAATGGTTTATTGCTTTATCAGTTTTTTGTTACAAAGGCTTGCTTATTGCACAACATACATGCCTGAAAAAAGCAGTTACCGCATGCCAGTAATCTTCATGCATGCTTGAACGCCGTTGTCTAGCTCGGGACCGTCATGAAGGGTGCAATCCCTCATACGCGAAGGACCGAAAGCGCGAAAATAAAAATCAGCCAATCAGGTTTCAGTAATCTAAAATTTGGAAAGAAAGTAAACATTTCCAGGGTAAACATTTCCTAGAGTATTGATATTGGCCGAATATAAAAACTGCGGAAATATGCAAAATTTTCAAATTGTCATTGACCGACGCAAAATTGGGACAAACTTTATATTTCAAGGGTTTCGTAATTAAAGAAGCAAAAATATTGCTTCATTTATTCATTTAAATTGAATGGCAATTGCTTCTTTAAAAAATTGTCTTTCGGCTAAATTTGTGTTCACGAGTTTTTTTCGCTCATTCG